AGGTGCCCTAGTTCTGAGAAGCACCGTTTCTAAGCTATTTGCAAAAAGGGAGAAAATTAATTTATTTTTGTTTAGATCAAGTTAACCGGGTACATATTACCATGGAAACTTTCGTAGGACGTATTTTCTTGTAAAGTTCATATTTACTGAGATATCGCACTTTGACGCACTAATGAGCAACCCTGTATATCAAAAATGTAAAATGTAATTTCAGTTAATTATTTTCCTTTATATAAGTACTATTACTTTGGTTTTATTTCAGGAAACCGATTGCTTTTGCAAAAATCCATATCCTAATATTAAAATTTGGATATCATTTGAATTATACGTAGCGAACGTGATGAACTGAATTCTACTTTTCATCCTCTTCAGTTCTTTCTTAGCATTCTTTATAACAAATCATCAAACAAAACCACGCACCTTGTTATACTCCAACACTTCATACCTGTTTTGGGTCGGAATCACCTTGATGTGCTCCCGTATATTTTAATGCCTTTCCGATTATGTCGTCCTCTAATTTTTCAAGTTTCCTACCCATTTCATCTATGTTTTGTGCTTCTTTGTCCTGCGAGTCATCTTTGGAGAGTGAGTTTTCTTCATGGCTTCGAAATGACTGCAAAGGTAGATTAGCGTTTCTTTTCTTTGCTGTTATAGCTATGGCCTTGTGATATCTTTCCATTAACCTAGGTTTAAAGAATATTAATGGCATACACGGAAATAATTATGTCTTTATATATGCAGCATTCGAAACCTTAATAAACCATGTTGATGGAAACGTTGATTCTTTACCTGCTATTTTCGATATATTTGGGCTTTACCATCAGACTTATTCAAAACTGCGATATTATATACATGTAAGTGTATACATACATACATACATAAAAGTGTTTTTTTTTCGTTTATTCGCGATTCGAAATATTGTCAATTTAATGTTTTCATATGGCTATTTTGCCGCGTCGTATTTTAAATGAAGTCACTCAGTTGCCATGACGAAAGTGGCCATGTTTGGGCCAACTTGTTTAATATTTGAATTTAGAGTCACCCAAAATTCCTCAAATTGACTTTGTGCATGCGTGAATTTCAACAAAAATTAGCGAATTTATTAAATAAATTTAGAATTGGATGGGAAAAACACCCCGTACGTGGCTAAATTTTAACATAATGGCATTTCCTCTATCTCACCTCAAAACTGGTTCTCTAACCGAAACCCATCTAAGACGTGAAGAATATCCCGAAGAGTTCGCGGAATTTTCGTTCATCCGATGGCAGACGGGAAAACTCGAAGAATGGGAAACGCCCCGATGCGAGACTGCGCGAAATTCGTGGAATCCGACTCCGGCCTATAGGAAGCGGGCTTACCCGAGGAATTTGAATTTCTAAACCGGTTTCGATGCGCACGAATACCGGATTGGAAGGAATGTGTAGTAAAGTGGCGTAAATGATACCTTGAATGGAATACCGGAACTTCTTGTTTTGGCCTCGATGGTGGTAGTTTTCGCCTGTTGAATTAATTCAAGTGGGGTGTTTAGGTATTTTGAATCTTTGCTGACCCAAAATAGATTATTTCAAAATGATTTTGAATTATTGATATAACTTTATCACATTCTACTTAAATAATAAATAAGTTTAATAATATTTGTTTGTATAATTTAAACGTATGGTCATTATTATTAATTATTTTCAAAAGGTAACTGACAGCTGTGAATATTGCTTTAGCATCAAATTGTATCAAAAATGGCCCCCTTTTGTCATGGCAACTGAGAGTGACAGTATTTAAAATAAGATGCCATTAAATAGCAATATTACATACATTAAATTGGCAATATTTCGAAAATTGAACAATTTTCAAATAGACATTTTTACACAAACTTACCGTTGTTTTAAAAATAACGGTAAAAAAAATAAAATAATAAAATTATAAAAAATGGCGGTTTCCATTTGAAAAAATTGATTTTGGGCGGTTTTCTCAACGTAATTTTTAGCTTTTTTTTTCACACCTGCATTAATAGTTATGAAGATTTTGTGGAAATTCGAGTAAAGTAAGTCTTTTTCAACAAAAAATGCGTTTTCCTTATAGGAAAAATGAATACCTATTCGATTGGCACATAAAATTTCATTTTTATTTATCACATAAAATTTCAAACATATCAAAAACGGTTAGACGTAGGTAAAATCCAAAAATCTGATAATATATAGGGTGTTTTATTTAAAATTGACAAGTTGATACCTACTTCCCGTATAACCGGAAGTAAAAATATTTTAGATTGCGTCCCCCAATAACATCGGCACACTGTCCTGTTGTTCAAATTGCTCCTAATTATAGTTTGCCAGATATCGATCGCAGCGGTTTCCAGTGGAACCCCCTGTGTACCCATATTTAAGTAGGCAATTGAAATTGAGTTATCAGATTTGTTTTATTATTATTAATTCACCGTTTGTCTAAAAGTCGTGGAAAGCCAGTAAACAACGTAAATGAAATTATCACGGAAATTTACAGCTAAAAACTTACTTGCTAAAAAGTAATATGCGGCGAGAGTTTCGAGAAATAATCGTGCTATTTACAGTATAAAACAGTTTCCTGGATACCAATCTTTAGATAACTTAACGACAAACTTATATAAACGTTATAATAATAAAATATCTGTTAAATGAGGTTCCTAAACCAGGCCTAATGGTATGAAGTAAAATGAATACGCAATGCCATACCGAATGTAAAAATGTACATATTACTTTTATTATCACAACGATCCTAAAAATATTCTCTTTAAAACAACCTTAGGATTAGCATACTATGAGGGATCCTGATGACTTCTGATTTATTTTCTTCGTATTCTTCATTTTTATCATTTGCTCTTTTCAGGCACATTTTCTTTAGATCCTTGAATATTGATTGATTTCATGATTTCTACTATATCGAAAAAAAAGTTTAGGTACGATTGTGGGCTCCTTGTAGGTATATTTATTAGTTTATGTGACCAAATACTAGACTAAAGCTAAATAAAGCAAATTAGAGATGATTGTTCCGTGGCCTGCAAAAAAATGGTTGGTTAAATCTCAGCAACAACGCCAACAAGTGAGTGGCATGGAACATGTTTTTAGAGACATAAATTGATATTGAACAGTTGTTTCATACATACGTTTAATCAATTATTTATGTGTAATTCGTCTGCTTGTATTGTCCATCTCAATTGTTGTGTTTCTACTTCAGCTGAAGAAAGATTTTCACAAAAGGGTTTTGCAATAACTACAGTTTTCTGCGAGTTAATTTGTACATAACTAAACGACCAGTTTATATAAATACAAGTGTGTATAATAATATAATATACTAATACATTTGTATTGTTGAAAAATGTAACCAAAGAACCATATTTTAAACAACATATTTACGAATTTACTTAAAATCATCGATTTTTCTACCAAAACCACTAAAGATGTGTTTGTTTCCGCAAAGCTTTCACGCCATTTAAATAAATCTCTTAAGAAAAACTTTATTTCTTAACGAATTTTTCACGTTTTATTTCCCAGTATTTGCTGTTCACTATGCAATTAATTTCTAGAACTACATCTATAAAACCAGTATCTAATTTCATAATAACACATACATGTTTTTAACATACTAAAACATGTAAAACACGAATCAAAGAGCAAAGAAATTGGAAAATTATATCTTAAAATGTTACATGTATCTTTATTTCGCGCAAAAATTCCTCGGATATGCTATATGAAAACTCTTAAGTGTTTGTATTTTTTAAATATTTGTGAATGCACTCAATATGAATTGTTTGGTGATTTTCAATACTTGTCTCCAGCTGATTTAATACGATATTCAAATTTCGATACACTTATTAAATAATTAAAATAGACCTATTTCCAGCTTAAATGTTTTTTCTCATACACCAGATGTTTGTACCATTGAGTGAATTAATAGGAAAAGGAAGCCTATCCCTTTTCGATCAGATTTGCACTTGAAATGGATTAGTCTGATTACCTCTAATAAAATATCGATTGAAAAGATTTATGCCTTTCCAACGATTATGAATTTGTCCTCATTTTGTGCGAATTGAGTGTGAATATTTTACCGAAAATTTAACAATTAGCCTAAAGTTCGGAAATTTTGGCCTTTTGCAATTGATGCGATTTAAATAAGACTAAATATCTTTCTATAACTGGAACAATAAATACAACCATATTAAATGGAATATTAAGTACATAATATATGGCACGTGGTTTTAGAACTATGTTTTGGTTTCTAATTTCATATTTAGTAGCGTATAAAAATAGCAACTAAACATTTTGCCTGGCGCTGCATAAGATTTTTTTTAAATATTGCTGTAAATGGAATTTTACAATTATACGTTTAAAAAGCTCCAGTTAATTGTTCAAAACCCTTCCATTCTAAACTAGTGGTTAAACCAAAGAACAGTAGCGTGCTTCATTTTCGCCCTATGTATTTTTTTTTAAGTTTCAAACGTAGGCCCACTGCAAATTATAATTCACTTCAACGAGGAATATGAGCGAACTCTTGCATTCCCAATATACAGTTATCAGACAAACAATTCAAATCAGAAGCAAATTTTATGAGATATTACCTTTTCAAGTGAGGAAATGAACGGCACACTACTGATCTCGAAAATGTTTGTGGTGTCCAGAAATAGAAAAAGATTGTAACTATAGTTGATCAAGGCGGCCATTTCAGTTTCGGAAGTAATCATGTAAAACTCATAAAGAGCAGAAATCCTCAGTTTTCTGTTCATTAAAGAACATTTGTAGTTATTGCAGCCTTTAAAATTGGCTCCCTGTTTCCTTTATTTAACATTGAATATGATACTATGAAGGCTTTCACGGCCGGTTAAATCACATTTAGGAATGTTTCTCGGGCTTTGAAGCCGTGGTCTATGGGAATTTCTTCCTGACGTTTCGTCCACAATTGCGGTGGATATTATCAAAGGCGATGAGGCAGTGGGCGAAATAAAATCCCGTGCTTTCCGACTAAGACTGATTGCTGGGCTGCATAAATACGACGGGGAATCCAGCAGTTGAAAGCCCGGAAAACATTCCTAAATGTAAGTGAATATGATTTTTCCCCTTTTTCGTTATTTTTCTAGTTTCATTTCGTACGTATTTTCTGCAGCATCAAGAATACCATATATTGGTAACATTTTACTAACCAGGCTTACTAAACTTAAAAGTGGCCTAATAATAGACTTTTTTTTATATTAGCAAGCTGCTGTATTTGGTTACTCGGGTCATTCCTACCGACTGCGCCAAATATGGAACGAGCTAAACTGAAAGACATTTACTAATAGAGAGTATAGGTAAAATCTTCTATCATATTATTTACACAGTAAACCATGTGGAAATATAGATACACTTGCCGAGTTATCGCTTGCTACATACTAAATGAAAAGCGTCTCGGGTAAGTTTCTCTTGTCTGTCGATTATCCCATTCTAAAATAAATGGATATTGCCGTATTGAGCAAATTATCAATTACCCAAAGCGGTTCTACTATTTTGACACTATTATATATAGCATGTTTTTTTCTAATAAATTTGATGTAGATGTATTGTAGCATTTGAATCAGCGGATGTTAAAAAATAGTAGCAGTAGAAAGGTGCGCATGAAAAATATAAAACATTACACTCACCTATTTTATGTTTTAAGAATTTTTCTTTTTTTGACTATATTTGTCATCTTCATTTTCTTCATCCACTTCTTCTTCTGCTTCGTAACCCCTCATTGTCTCTCAGTATAAATACGCTGACGTTTTGAATATTTAAACATTTTTTGCTGTAACTATTTTGTTGTGACTGTAACTACGTGACTCAAATCGATTCCAATATTTTTAGCCCACATAGGCTTTATTTATAATTTTATTTTTTATGTAAAATATAGCGATGTTCAAAATTAAACAGCTGACCTAACTTCGAAAGGTGGAAAATCCAAATTTATGTAGGTAAATACTTATGTAGTATAACTCAAAACTCTCGCTGAATATTATGTGTAGTACCAAGTTAATTTTTCGAGTCGGGTTTCAGTTGGTTCGAAATCAAGCGCGAATTATAGCAGCTCATGAGTTAAGCAAAATAGTAAAATCCAATTTAAATTACAAAAATTAGATTCTACTTACAAGCGAAATGTAGCTAAATAAAGACATCACTATAATTAGGCAATATCTTACCATTCCTTATCTAACCCATTATTTGGCTCAGACTTCTTGCGCCTGTCTAAGCCAAAATAGTCGGACCAGTCTATTGACTTTTTTTTTAGTTGAAGGGGTTTGCCAATTTGTGGAGCGACAGGTGCAAACACTTCTTTGTTAATGTCCACATCTTTGCTTACATCCATTTTAGCTCGATCTTTCTTCTCAATTTTTCGAGGTGCTGGGGTACCAACATTATTTGCTGCTTGTGGTTTCGGGGTAGATACTTGCTTACGCAGTTTGTCGGTATCAGCATGGGTTTTCTCATCACTCCCGAAAATGCTGCGTAGGTCTTTTTCCACTTGAGGATCTGTTTGCTTTTTAACCGAACGTTTTTCGTTTTTGATGTGAGTATTACTTCTTTTTTCTACAATGAGCCTTTTATTAACCCCGTACATGTTAAGAGCTGGATTATATGAGCTCTCATGCGGATAGCGGTTTCTTAAATAACTTGTCTTGTGGTCTGGTTCGCTCAAACGCGGAACATGATGATGAATCTAAAAAAAAATATTGTAACTGCAATTTTTTATTTTAAGTTGAACATACGGAAAGTAAGGGTTCTTCGCTATTGTCCACGTATCGACCTCCCTTCCTAAGATCAACATTTGGCATTTCATATATTGGGTAGTACCTCTTGCTCATTGCTGGATTTTCATCCGAAAGGCCGTTGCCATAATAGCGATCCCACAACGCTCTCAGATCATTTTTGTTAAATCCTCCTAAATATTTTTTCAAATTCAGTATCTATTGTAGAATACCTAATGAACAGTGTCTATTACCGGGCATTCCATTACTTTCTAAATTATTATATAAATTCCTAACAAATTCCTCTATTTGCTTTTCGCGATATCCCTGGCGCTCTCTAAATGACGAAGTTAACCTTTTGTTGTACGTTTCATAGTCGTCATCATCTACATAGTCTTTGCCATAAGCATTCCCATCTAAAGCTCATATTATTGCTAAGTTTCTAATCACTTTCGTGCAAAGTGGCTTTCGAATAAATAATTTGAAATACCTGCAGCGTTCTTCAGGAACGTTAATTCATCGACTTGCTCGTAAGGAGTAAATCCATATTGCTGTTGTTTTTCGTACTCCACGATCTCCCGCTGTCGTCGATCTAACGCATCTAAAGCACTTTGTAAATCACTGTCTCCAAAAATTCCATCGCTTAGCGCCAGAATACCGACGAGCAGTAGCAAGACGCAAGATTCCGTCATTTTTAGTTGAAGAAGCTGTTATTAATTATTGCCTACATTAATACAAGGAAATAACCAAAGTCTAGATTGTCGAATGGACATTTTCTCATTATTACTACATCTACGCATATTACTAATGCTCTTAAGAGGTTCTATTCGTAGCGTCTCCTGGTTTAAATAGAGTCGGTATAAGATTTAACGGTTTTATTGGAAAAATTGAAATTCACTCTTATTATGCTACCTCTGAAATTGACAATCTACAAAGTTTCTTAAAAAGTTTAATATCAGTATTATTAATTTTCCGGTAATTATGTCAAAAAGTGATTAAATTGATATGCCACAATGGAACAACTAAGTGTGAGACAATGCTGAACTTGTGCGCATTGTTGGAGCTGCTATTCTTTCTGCAATACGGCCATGGAATATAAAAACCAGGGGGTCATTATGGTAAGCCTATAAACAGCACTGAACGTCGCAAAAATATTTTTTGTTCAAAACTGGAACAAAAATGAGACGCGAATAGAAAATATTTTCAGACTAGTCTCCGGATCCGCTTTGCGCTCTGATAAATTCACTTTTCCAAAAAAATCGGCAACACATTTCTGAAAATATTGAAAAAAAATATATATCCCCTTACAAATTTGAAAGTAAATCGTACGTTTCGTCCAAAATTTCAGTTCTCTTGATCCAAAAACAAATTTGCCAAAATAGGACAAAATCCATAGATTTTACTGCGCTTTTTAATAGGTTCACGGTATAGGTAAAGTAAGTCATTTGCACCAAGTTTATTTCACAGTGAATGCTCACTTTAATGCATATTTTACCATCCAATATCATATATTTTGATTCCGAAAAAAAACTCATTGCATTTCCATATTCCCCTATGAAAGCCTCTTTTCATTTGCGTCACATGGGAACGCTCGGAGAATGGACTGCAATTCTAAATATGCCATGAATATTTTTATTTAGTTAGAAAAATTTGTTTCACTAATATACGAACAGAAGAGAAAACATGATTGAAATACCAGTGGTTGTTGTATTGGTCTTGATCGGCTTAATTCACATTAAATTTGTAGGTTCATGAGCAGGTTCAACATTTTATTCTCAGATTTTGTACACGACAGCCCAGAAACATGTCTAAATAGTTCATTTATATTTGAAAATTGATATTTTTACATATTCTAATTCTGGAGCACATTTAGTTGTTCTTGAATATTGCAACCTTTTCGTAAATTTGCTTAATGCTGACTGAATTAAATTAAAGGTTCAGCAACAAGATAATTCCGTCGCATCTTAAATCTCTGCCTGTAGAGAAGAACATTTTTTTTGTTGGCTTTCATATTCAATTCAATTCAATCAGAATTCAACTTAAAATTGTTTTTCTATAATTGCAGATCCAGCATCAAACAAAATAGATACTATGAATTTGAAATAGGGGAATTAGATCGATCAAAGGCCGGTTTTTCCTATTTAACGACTTTTTGTCATATTTATTTTGGCTTTCTCGGGGCACTAAAGATTACACATACAAACTCGTTTTTTTGTAATTTTGAATTACTAGATTAAGTTATTGCTTACATTATATGCTACATAAATAAATATATGAAATGTGCATTAAAGCGATAACACAAACCTACTACCCTGAGTATGCCAGAACAAATGTAGCACAACATCCGCAATTGCTTTTGTTGTTATTACACCGAATCAACTACCATTATTAAATTAAACTCCCCCAATGAGAATTGCCAAAAATAGCATCGCTATTATACATAATAAAAACATAAACAATATTGACAATTTTTGCGTATTTTTGGAAAATACTGAATACAATTTCTAAAAAATATAATGAATTATTAATGATTGACAGCGAATAAACTGAAAGCATAATTTTTCTTTGGAATAAAAATGAGCGATATTAAGGCGCCGTCGAAATTATAGTCAATCATTAAATAAGGACAAGAGTTATTGCAAAATAACTTATTCACATAAGATTGCACTTCGGGCTCATTTAAATTTAAAATGTAAAATTTAAAAGTAACTTAAAAAAAAACAAATATGACTACTTCTCTAAATATAGATATATTAATGTTTTACAAATTACATTTGATAAGATCTTTTTAGCGAACGAAAGAATCCCAAATGTCGAACCATTAGGAAAATTATATTTATGGTTTTTGAATTTTATTAAATTATAATGAGCAAGATAAAATCAAATTTTTTCAAAACGTTTTTCAACTCATTCGTCCAAAAGAAAAAAGCAAACATTTAGTAGTTGTTCCTGAACCTGTTGAACAATATCAGTTCATACTAGGCATTAGAGGCGATCTGTCGAGTTTTGATTGATGGGTTTCAGACGGAACATATTAAGGGTTATAAAATAATTTAAGATTGATTCATAATAAAGGCGTTGGCTTGTTTTGAAATATTTTTGAAATGTTATAAGAAACCCCAAAAAATAATATAGTAAAAGCCATTAAGTTCGCGTTATCTATTAAAGCATTAATTTAAACGAGAGAAAAAATGAGGTACTTACCCTTCTAGACCTGCATAAGGTTGTGAATGAACGAATTCTGAATTAAGGTCTGGAAGTTTAATCTTCCAAGCAGATCAAATAGTTTTGCGGCGCATGCTCGGTTTGGCAATTGGGGTTTCTCTGGTCGATAATATCCAGACTCCAGAAGTGAAAAACACATACATTGTTTTGATTTATTTATTGGTTAATCATTTGCAGCATGTCATATTACATTAAGTCAATTTGTAGTCAGGCGTGGAATATATGAACTCAGATATCTAGAAAGTCACAAAACAAAAAGTGCCGTAAATTCTCCAGCATATTGATTTCTGCAACCTACACACGAATATAAATATTCTCACTTTAATGAAATTGCAAAGACGAAAGGCCATTTATTAGTGAATGAAATAGACTTGAATGTTGTAATTTAGGAGAACCGCCGTACTAAATATTAGATAGAAAAATAAAAAGTCCATTTATTGAAGTGATACATATTACTAATGAAAGCGAACTCGCATATAGTAATATGTAAAAGCATGTTTGATATTTCAACAGTTTTTCAATATTAAACGAAGTCACACTGTGTCTATAGTTTCAGACGTCCTGTATATGTTAAAAGTTGAAAGTATTCTCAAATGTGTGGCTCTGAATACCAGTTGTAAGTTGACAGCATTCATTCAACAGATATAAGTGAGTGTCGCAGCTTTAAATTTTTTTCGCCTAGCAAGAAAAAGGCTAGTAAAAGAAATTGCGGAAAATCCCAGCCCATAAAAAGTCAGTCATAAGAGGTCTGGTCAGAAATCAGTTTTAGATAGTCAGTCTAAAGACAGTATTAACATAGTTACGGTCACAGTTATAAGAAGTAATAAGTCATAGTTCGGTTACACGTAAAATTTGTATTAATTTGGAATAAAATTATTTTTAAAAACGGAAGTTTCAAATTAATCATTAAAATTCTATTGACAACACAATGAAGAACTTTAAAAATTAGTTTGAATCGCTTACTTTTTAAAGAAAGATCATCATCCGAGTGAGATGATGTCCTAAATGGTTTCAGGTTTTGGGATGTGTGTTAATCTTGTTTGTTTGGGTTGTGTGTGTTAATCTCTGGTGAATCGTCAATCTGACTGCTTTTTTCAATCGGAAGAATTATTTACAGTGCGTCTCAATCTCAATAAAAAAATAATTCTCATTGAGAGCGATATTGTCTATCGTTCTCGTGATTGGATCTGTCTTACGGGACAGAGCCGATCTCAGTTTGGATATCTTGCAGAATAATTCCAGAGAAATGCTAATCTTTTGGCTCTTCAGTTCTTATTCCGGGAGCGATTTTCCTTACATGTCAAATGGTAGGTATCGTTGAAACTTCCTTTCTAAAGACTTGGTCTTCATTATGTAATAAATGTTTTTTCTCGATCGAGGAAATTTTCCTCTCGATAACACAAAATGAATGGAAGTTTTAGATTCAAAGATCGTTACGGGAATCTCAAAATATATAATTAGATAAATAAATACAGTAATTTCGATTGTTAATTAAAACTTTCCAATTTAAATTTTTATGTTTATGTGAGTTTTTAACTATGCTTCTAACGCTATTCGGGAATAATAAGTTTTTGCTCTACTAATAAGTAGTTGTTGGTTATAAAAGTTTTTATAGGCAATGACAAGAATGTCATTAAAGAAAACTTCGGTTCTTCTTTGCAACAGTTATCTTCAGGGAAATGGAGGAAAGAGTTAGGCTGTTCAATAATGAAGTGATCCTTGCGGGGATATTTTTGGACTCCCAGTATAAGGTAGTTTTAGACGGCAATTAAGTAGAAAGAGCAAAAGAAAAAAACTGATGTTCTTAAAAACTGAAATTCTACCAATTCTGAATTTGACGCTGACCAACACGACATGGAAACGAAATCATCTGTATCTACATTAACGTGAAATCGAAGCCTTTTAAAGGCATACAGATTCAGAGCTAAAAGTATTAACAGGAATTAATCAGCACAAATTTTCTTCACATGATTCATTTATAGCTCTCTCTCAACAAACTTAAAATTATTTTAAATTTCTATAAAGTGGATCAAAAAACAATAGAAAGCTTAATTCCGAGTTATACATGTTTGCTCAAGTATTAATAAGCGTTCCTGGAACTCAATTTTTGTTGCCGCCTACGAGGTCTAATATTGACAAAGACATTTTAGAGGAAGAATATTATTTGTGAGGACCGAGCGACTTTTCAATCGAAAAGGACAAAGACCGTACATTTGTTTATACACTACTTTTAAAATCCTTTTTTATAGTTGAATTAATTTAGTTTTTCGAGCACCAACAACAAAAACTTATAAACTGGAGCTCCCGACGAAACCAACTCAAAAGATCGTGAAGAGTGTAAAGCCATAAATTATGGCCCTGAGTGAAAACGGAATGAAGAAAAAGCGCTAGTCAGAAAACTTAGTAAAAAAATACTTTTCAAAAATATCACGATTAAATCAATTTTTGTATAGGAGTCCTTATTTTAATGTTGTTCCATTAAATTTTACATACATTTTTATTTTTATATACTTATTACTTACTTGTTATAATGATATCTACCGCACAACCAGTGGAAGTACAAGTACAGTAGGAAGCAGTGGATCGTTTGCGCATCTTTTCTCTTGTAGAATATAAGAAGCAAGGAAAAGATAATGAAATTTCTAGATAGAGGGTAATATTTTTGCTCTCGTTTGTTGAATATAGATTTTGGAACCGAAATTGACCGAGAAAAAACGGCAACCGGAACTGAACCAAATTGGAAAATATTTTCTAAACCGGAACAATACGGGAACCTAAATTAAAATGTTGCCTTGATCCGAAACCGGAACGGAACAGTTATTTCGACCCGGTCCAGGTCCTTGGTTGTAAGTATATTAAACATTAGTAAATCTTATTTAACTTAGAAAACAATAATATAATTTACAATATTTATGACTCCCTACTATTACACTCTTCAAACTGAAATGATGAAATAAATTACATTTAATTTAAATTACAAGAAATAAGCTTTGCGAGATTTCAAAGTTATTCGAATAAATTAATGCACTTAACTTTTTACATTACATTTAGTTTTTATTTGCATAAAATATAACTTTACACTTAAATTGCATGAAACTAATCCAGCTCCATTCCATTGATCCACTCCCAATAATCAATGCGTCAGGGAGTTTTTAAAGGGGATTAAATATAAAAAATCCTCATTTATAAGAAAAAACAAAATCCATTAATGTCATTTAAATGAATTTAAAAACAGGAATAAACAGAAGTTGTGGAAACAGACGTAGTGAGCAAAATCATGGATTCAAAATTAATTAGATAAAAGAGAATTAAACACCATTGCACATAAACCAATAATGCTTTATTTTCTTATGTAGATACTCTCTCACTCTAACAACTGGTTATTCTTCTGCCAGTTATATTTACAGAGACTCCCTAGGGTAAGATATGGGAGTTAATTAAATTAATTTGTTACTTCCTTTTCAATCCATATTTTACAGCCCTAAATCACAACCCAATTACCACCGTAAAGAAAATAACCAACTCAACCGTTTAAGTAATCACCAAAACGGGATACAGGTATGTAGCCAATAATTTAACATGAGTACACTGTTACCGTCTGTTCAAAAGATATTATCAGCAAAAACATCGCCAAAGAATAAATACTTTAATATAATTCAATTTTAGGTCACAAAAAGCTAATTTTAGGCCTACTTATTAGAGCAACGCGTTCATAGCGGGGTAGCTGGTAACAGATCGTATTCGTACAATTTGGACCCAATTGATTTTCTCATAAAGTGAGATCTCTGTTGAATCCAACTGTAAATCGATAGTAGAATAGAACGAGCACTGACAAATCGATAAAGTTACAGCTTTCTGTATATATTTTTGTCCGGACGTACCAGATCAATTCTAGAAGAACTAACGAATATCGAACGCATCTGAAGACTACTTACATGTTTCTGTAACTCAAAATATTAAACTGAGGCTTACATTTTCATGCGGTGGATATTTTTGGTATTGATTTCTGGTTTATATATTTGCTTGTACCCTATTGAATCGAAAATTACCCTTCGCCAAGGGAGAGAAACTTTTAACTACGTTTCTTTACATTAGGGCTAAGGGCGGTGATTCATAGAAAGTTTGCGAGGACGGTAAAACTTTTTATTGAGGATTTTATTTTGATCCAATGTTATACTTGATCGAACAAACTTTCGAAATTTGTCGCTGCTACGTATCGGAGGAAAAGTAAATAAACATGAAGCACAAATGGGTTTTCTTTTCTTTAATTTATTTGCTTTTACATCAATAAGTTACAACTTTTTGGAAATACCATGTATACGTAAAAGTAGGAGTAACTCGTTCTCAAAAGATATAAAAAATTTTATATTGTATTTACAAACAAATATATTTATAAAAGATGATCTATGACCAACTTAGTGTTACGCATAAATTGTTTAAAATTAATATTGTGCTAAAAAGCGGAGGACGGATGAAACGAATAATAACTGTTTTAAAATTAATACATATTATGAAACCATAGCTCAAATGATATAAAACATTATACATTGTAAACATTAATATGTCTTCAAAGAGTTATTATTCAGAGTTCTCCCATGAACAAAGCTTAACAATAATAAATAAGTTATCTTCTCCAAATATTAACTTTTTGAACAAATTAGACTTATATTGAATACCTAATAACAAAAATAAAGAAATAAAAATCGATCATTATATCGTAATATACATTTAATATAGCTTGTTGTAGAAACATGCTATCGGTTATTTCTACAATGATATGTTGACGTTTTAATAGTAGCCACTGCAATTATACAAATTCATAAAATTTTTGTTGATCGATTTTTAGTTCGAGTATAATAATAAAAATGTACAATAAAATAAATACTTTAAAAAGTGATAATTCCAGAAGCACTGAGCTAATAGGTCTATCACAATTATACGAGGTGTGCCTAAAAGTCATTATCTGGAAGAATTAAAGTACGAGAGTTCTAAAAACACCTCGTATAGTAAATGTATTTGGCAATAAGTAGGGCCCAAGTTTAGATAGGTCAAAAACAAAAAGAAAAGTAGTAACATTTTTTCAATCAAAAAGACAGTACATACCGACAATTAAGTAAATCACCCCCGAGGCGAATTGTAATTACGTTGAGGAAAAGGAAAAATTTGATCGCTAGACTATAAACAGTGTTGGACAGAAATAAATTATTTGAGTAGGACCCCGCAAAAGCTTAAAAAATACTCCAAATTGAATTAGGTGTGACAGAAGATGATCACAATGGAAGAGACCTAAAGTCAAACTGATTTATCTACTCTTTTATACACTGATATACGTTTTTTACTTTAGATAATGATATGGAATATTTTTCCTTTTGTAAAGATAAATATATAGCACATCGGCTTAACGATAATAATTTACAATATTGCTTATTTTACATCACTATATGAGCGCAACGATAGTTAAACAGAAACATTATTTGGCTTACGAGATTTTCTCACACCGTTGTATATGTTTGAGGCGCCACATAGCAAAACTGATATGCTAAAAGGAATCTTTTTATTCGGTACTAACAGTGCCACACTGTTTCAGAGCTTTTGGCTGAGCCAAAAATGTAGAATACATTATATTGTTAACGAATAACCCTGTATATAAAAACTCAGCATCTCTACTTCTCAACTCCAAATAAAATACGATGTAAAACAATGTAAATATTGTTAAAAGTTTTGTGAATATTTTCGATTATTCAAATTTAGATGTATATAGTGTTGTTTTCAAGCAGAAATACAAATTAAAAGCATACAATTTTGTAGGTTGTTCTATTATGTATGGACGATAGTTTTAAAACTTATATACTATGCAGGTATTCAATAACTACAAAGTGGCAACTGGTTAAGAGTTTGGTGAGCCTAATAAAAAAAACTTATAGAAAAATTCTTAATTTCTCCCGAAACACTTCTCATTAGTCAACGGCTCTCTGAAAAAAATGTAAATAAAACAAGCGTCATGTTTAGTCTACTGCAGATCTTGATAAGGTTTGAAAATTTCAAGCTGATCATAGAATGGGATGCGTTATATTCCGGTTGGCCTGGATTTTTGGCTCGCTAACGTTCAATTAATGCAAGAAATGTAGAATAGACCAATTTGTATTACTCTTGTCGAATATTCTAACATCAAATAATAAAAAAAAATATAGAACTCAAAATGGGAAGGAACTTTCACAGCAGAAAATAGATCTATTTCGCGAGGAAATGTAATAGTCAGTGGGTAAATAAGGAAAGTCTGCAAGGATTTAAAAATTAACAGGAAATAGATCAGCAACCAACCAACGAAATAGACATTCAGAGCAAGATAAAAGTATTTCTCTCAAATGTACATTTTTGGAACCAACTATTGAAAATAAAGATGGATTGAGAGAGAAAATGGATTCGTCATGCAGCTGAAGATCAAAAATCGATTATCGATAAAATATGGGGACTTTGATGTTGATGATAATGACCTAGTTTTTGATTAATTTGCTTTACTGTGCAAGTATAGTAATAAGTGCAAATTTTTTTTATCAGTTTTCAAATATATTTCATCTAATTTATCACTATAAAAAATGCGTCTTATCGGAAAAGATTCCCTAAAATTTGGTCAGGTGCTTGCACATACACGAATAGACAGATTGCTCAATTTAAAATAACGAAATTGCTGTCTACTTCCGGTTTACCCGAAAGCGCTATACACCCGGTAAGAATGTGTAATGATTTTTGTTCAAATCGAACATTGTTTGTTCATAGTAATCAACACAAAGCGACAACTTATAAGATTGCTTACAAGCTGGAATACCTGCATAGCAAATATATTTTCATAATTCTCAATTTTTTGTCTCATTTCATTATTGAACTGAAATGAGTTTGCCCTAAAACTGGTTCATCCACATGATTTTTGAACATCCAAAATATTGCAAATTATTATACAACTTCACACCAGGTTTTCATTTAGCTTATTAGGACAAAATTTTTATTCACACTTTACAGCGCAAGTTTAATTGAAGTTCCTCTATATAGTAGAAAATGAATGCAGTTCACCACAATAATAACAAATAACCCTGTATATAAAAACTTAAGTGGTATATCAACCTGCCTAGTCAGTATCTGATTTCGTACCTAAACAAGTAACAGTACTTTCTCGCTATAACACTTTATATTTACACAGAAATGTACAAAAATCATTTTTATCCGGGAGAAGATTACCAATAAATCAACTACCTATCCTAAAATCGGCATTTTAAAGTCTGTGAAATTCGAGATCCTTTTTATTAAGTGTCTATCACTCAAAACCGATATTTACTATGCGTCCATTGCATTTGATTGATCAGCATGATCCGAAGATATTGTCAGATCTTCTGCCATATTATCTGATTGCTGTTCTTGATCCATATCGTCATAAGCATCAGTATGCATCTCTCTCTTGATCATGTGATGCATTGACTCTGGTTCTCGCACAATCTGGTGGTCCTGATTAACCAACTCTTGCTTTATATGTAACCCTCCATTCATTGCAGACCTACATTCATAGTTAAATGTATGAAAACCACAGCTCCCTGTTCCGATACTCAAGCATATTCATTCATTAACGGAGAAGCGGTGTCTTAACGTTGATTTACATTATCAGACACACAACGACCGGAAAAGACGCGACAAAGACCCGACAGTTGCTGGGGAAATTCACATTAGTATCCGATATGGACTGGTTGTTTGTTTGGTTGTTTCTGATTGTTTATTTGGTTATAACGAAATTAGAAACTAAAGTGCACCATGATGAGAAAAACTCTTTTGTTTGATGTTTAGAAATTTTACTCAGGAAGATATGTGCAGCTATATTGCTTGCTTGATGAAGATGACGAAGCCACAGAGAAGAAGTAGAATCGAGCCTGTGTGCATAAAATGATGTAAAAACGTAAAACTGAAGGAGAATATCAATTTTCATATAAAGAATTAGAAGACGACAAAAGAAAATTTTCCAATATTTCAGACTGTCGAAGTTTCAATTTCGTTATTTGCGCGATAAAATAACAGTGCGCGTAACGGACCAGCACAGACAGGAAAAAGATTGCCTAGAATGTCGGACGGAAAGGTGTAACCACAAGCTTCTTACAATGTGTACAATATTGCCGACATTTTCCCAAAGTAGACCGTTTCATTTCCTTTCGCAGCTTTTATAATTCCATTATCAATAGCACAGTGTATTACATATTTCTGAATTTTCCTTGATTTCATCAAATGACTTACCTCATGTGGTGATCATGTGGAGGTGATTCTGATCTATCTCTAGGTCGTCCAGTCATCATAGGAGTGTTGGTCAAAAAGGACAAACTGTTGTCTTCCAGCAACGTGGCCTGTATAAACTTTTACTCAAATTAACACCTTGTTACAAGTTACATAGTCAAATGGCGGAATACCTGATTAGCTGACATATGATCTGCATATAATGTCGGGCTGTGATTCATGGTGGGACTTTTGGATGAAGCACCCCTAAACATGTAAATTTTATTTAAATAATTGTTCGAGGGAAAGGAGCTGAAAGACAATAAATACTAAATAACAAGTAGAAGCCAAAAAAGTTCAAAACTAACGTACCATATGGTTGATGTTTGAGTGGTCCATGGGAAAATGAGCGAGATTATGGTAGAAAAAAAAATTGCATAAAAACTGCTCGTTAATCATGAGCCAGAGAATTGAAGTATGTTTTAATGCGTTAATGCGAGCTATATTGTTACTAAAATTGCAGTTTTTATGCGTTAATGAGTAAGAAAAAGATAAAAATTTAACTACTGTTCCTGTATGTTATCAACTTACAATGGTCTTGGCTTCGATGTGGGCGACTGACTGTACCGAGCTTCTTTATTATATGCACTTATCATAAAAAGTTAAAAAAATGAAATATTTAAGTAAAACCATACAGGAACGTCTACTTTAAATTGAAAAGATGAAGATGAAAAACCATGCGCCATTTAGATATTCAAAAAATAGATAAAAATAGTTTCTTATAAATATTAAAAGTTTTAAATGGGGAATTGTATAGCACTTGTTACCTGAAGACACCCTTTCAATTCAGCTTAATGGATAATTATTGCACTGAAGAAAATATCATATAATATATATCATATTCCACATCATCTTATTATTCAGTTAGTTAATGACATTTTCTTCATTAGTAAATGTTCTAACATTGAAATACTAAATTCACATTCATCCAAAACATTGAAATGCAATTAACTCTTGAACACAGACCGCTCATGGTTAAAGAGAATTACTACGAATAATCGATTTTCATATTTTACCGAACAGATACATAGATTGATCTGAGTCCAATGTTTATGCGCTATAATTCAAACATTCCAAAGCCGGCTCTATGTTGATCTCTAGAAACTAATTTGCCTTTACAACAGCCTGTGTATATGTTGTGCGTGCAAGACATTATTGTCTCTAAGCAGACCTAATATTATGTACAAGATCAATCAAATACGACTTTACAGTTATCATATTTTGCTTTAGAATCAACCAATGAAAATCAATTTTTCCGATTCCGATCCGGTCACAGTGTTTAAGTCATATTGTCAGCAGTACGGGGCGATCTATAATATTGATAATACTTTACTGGAAGAAATTGATTTTTTATATTTTCCTAGTTTTATTTTTTTAGCGAACAGCTCTTTAATGTTGTAACTTACTTATTTTGTCTCATATGCAATAAATTTAATATTTTCCAAATGCATTTAAATTGCAATTAACTATTTGGTGTGTATGTAAATTTCGGTATTGTTGTCTGAAATATTATGAGGTTCATTAAAAAATGTAAATTTGCTCTAAGTTATCTAAAAGTTTTTGAATCATTTATTTTCTTTCGTCATTATTATATTTAAATAAAAATAGAATTGTCAATTTGCAACACTCTAAATATCACATTTATATTTTTCAGATGACGAAACGTAAATACTCAATGAAAGTAGCTTGGCGTTTACTGTGTATATAATTTAAAAGGCTTTTTCTACCCTTGAATATAATGTCTTGTCCCAATGGCTTTTAACAATCACGTCATAATCAGGATCATCGCCAATATTTTTGTTTAGGTAAACAATCTTTAAATTGTATACACTCTCAACACCAAGCTAGTTATATTGAATTTTATCCAGTGTATTTATTAAAATTTATCCAGTTTTATCCACATGTTCTTCTCTTCTTAAAACGTAAACGGCATCACTCTGAAATAGCTGGGAAATTATTTTTAATTTCTACAAAAAATGAGTTTTATTCGCTGATACATGATTAGACTAATATAATAATTGGAAAATAAGTATGACTCAGAATATTCCAGATCAATCATCAATGTGACAATATGCTTTATATGAAGTAATGTAGTCTATTTGGTCATTTATGAATGACCATTTTTCTAATTTCACTTGAGAAAGGTTTTTCATAATACGGGATTACCAGACAGTGCAGAAAATATGAGTTCTATAAAAATGTGCTTGTGAATGACTGAAACTGTGCAAGTGCACTTAAATACCATCAAGAAAAGCATGAAGAACGTAAAGGTGAGAACAATCCGAATTAGCAAATATAAAAGAAGGGGCAACAGTAATTGGTATCAAATACGGCGCACACGAAAGATGTGCACAGAAAAAGGGAAATAAGTGAAGAATGGTATAATCCATACCATACGAAGTCAGAGCGAAATAGACTTAATCAAGTAGTAAGGCTTAGTAGGCCAGCTTTACCAAATTCATATTCAGACACGTAATCTGTTCCTTTCAAATAAATAGAAGGCGAATCAGTTACATATAACATGATGTACATTATGAAAAATAAGTATCCAAATAAACGCTTGTTTAAAATTACCAACACAGAAAATATTTAATTCTTATAAACTCAAGTGTACGCCATATATAAGGGCATCTGAAAGAAAACTGGGAGATATATAAGTTAAAGCGCATCCGGACAATAAAATTGGACGGATCGAGAAAATAATGAATTAATGAGCGAGCAAAAAGAAGAATGAAAACATGAAATATGTAGTCGAAGGTGCAGGACGAGACCAAAAAGCGCTCAGAAGTAAGGATTTTAGTTTTTATTTAGTATTTTTTTATTATAAGTATTCTGTTACTTGACTTAATATGGAGACATTAATCAAATAACGATCTACAAGTAAGAATATTGTGACAAAATTAATCGATCGAAATAAATCGGAACGCTTGTTTAGAATAGCATTTCGATGAGGCTCTTCTTTGTAAGATAAAATAGGAATAACGTTCATGCAACAGATCTTCTTCACAAGGCAGTGACTGTGTATAGGTAACTCTTTGCTGTAAGTGATGTATTATTCCCGAGATCTACCTGTTTTATGTATTCTGAGTAACTAACACTTACTTAATATATAGTAAATTAATTCGATAAACCACATGTATCTGAGTTGAAACCGAAAAGTCGGAAGTAACATCTTGTTGACAAATCTTAGATAAACTGTATTCATAATTCAAGTTTACTTTCATGCAGCGTAATTGTGATCTGTTCGAAAAGCAAGCACTAAAGCTTTATGTTTTATGTGTTGACAATGGCACTCTACGTTCCTTTAATTCCGAGAAACTGTACTGATCAAAACATCTAAGTTTTGCTAACTTAGGAGATCAAATCTAGGCTTTGCCAAATTATTTCTAGTAGAAAACAAAGCTATTACACCGACTTGACTGTATTAAGTCTCATTGCTGCTTTTATCAAATTGCTTCCAGCTCTTCCAAAGCTATTCTTATTAAATTTTCCGATGAGTTTTGATAAACAAAATCAATTCGATGAAAGGAGCTTTGAGCTAAGGCCAAAAAAATTGTACTTTCCATAGTGGTATTATCTGCTGCATTTAACGGAAATTTATCAGTATCAGGGCGATTTTATTTAATGATATATTTGTGGCATAGTTCTAGATCTTCTAGAAATAACCAACTGCGGTCTGATTTTAATAACATAATCTGTTCAAGCGATTAATTGGAAAATGTTCAAATAAATGCTAACAGGGGCAATAAATAAACATGAAGTCACAACTGAACAAGTACCACATCTAAAATATTTTCAAATACATACGAAAGAAACTGTACTTTGAAGAAGTACTTTGGTCGTTTGAAAAATAACTTTTTCAAAGTAAAAAATTGGAATTTAGTGGATTTTGCGAACTCAAAATTTTTTGATGTAAGTACAGCTTGATGTATTTGGTAACGTGCGTTTCGTTTTCTCGTTAAAAGTTTCTAAGATTTGGCTTATTTGTGTTGTAAGATTGTATTAAATAAAGTTATCAAAGTTATCCGCATTGTACCAAAGCGGTACATAATGTAGAAACAATGAAGCGTTTAACTAAATTTTCAAGTTCATAAAATGTTTAAGCTTTTGGTTGATTCGTTCTGTTAACAAACTGCAAAATGTGAAATAATCGGATTGATAATTTTTCCATTATTTTCATTAAAAAAAGAAATTCCAAGGAACATTACGGAATTTAAGCTTTCTTCATCTGTCAGTTAAACAGTAATTACACTGAAGTGAAAATATAATCTAAAACATATAACTTTAAAAACAACTCCAGTCTAAATTGCGTTTCGAAATAGTTCTTTCAGTTTTCGCTTTTCTTCTTACGTAAAATTACCAGTTATCATAACATATAATGTGATCCAAAATTGGCGTCATTTCTCTGGATTAGAGATGGAGGGCTTTTTAAATAGTACTTAAATTATGTTTTTATAGGCCTAAACCGGCGATATAGGCAAGAAATTAAACCGTTAACTTTTTCTTCAACAATTCGTAAATGAATATTTTTTCACATCTAAGTCGACAATGATACCTGATGAAAGCGGAGGTTATTTGTAAAAATGAATGAGTCCGATTCATATTATTGATGAGCAATTTAAATGTTTAAGAACTTATTTTTTTTCAATCAAGTTCACCGAACAATAACATGTAAACCTGCATTGAGTGCAAGTATGAGTTGTTGTGGTGATGCTCTGCCATACTTTTCATCGAAAGTAACAAAGTTCTCCACTAAATTTCACCAGCTCTTTGGTGTAGAAACAACAACATAAAACGTCTGCATATTCAACAGTGTTATCCAATATCAGTATGTGAAAGGTAACCCTCCACAAATGTGTGTTATGTTTGTCAATTTGCTGCTCTTATACATTTTCTAATTGAATGTTTGAGTAAAGTAATATTTTGTCAATTAGCCGTTAATAAATTTTAGAATAATACATACACTCGCTGGAAATAAATTTTCATTTGTGCATCTACCAGAAATATCGAAAAAAATGGTTTTTCCATATCATTTTGTACTCTGAAACCCTGACAAGAAATGACGCGAAATCTGAATCACCATGTGCAATGTGCATGACACCCCCAATTTTTAAGAATAGCATTTCAGGTCAGCATTAAACAGAAAATCAATAAGACATTATAAAAATGAATCGATAAATAAAAAAAATCAAATTAATCAACAAATTCATTTTGGATATGCTAGTAAGAAAGTTGATGTAGATTTCCGAAAAATAGATTTCACAAGGGGATTATAAATAAGCGAGTTTGAGAGAATAAATTTAAAAATATTCAGGAGTATTTTTTAATTAATCTTTTAGTCAATATGTACGTGTAACTCTTTAAAGCACAATAAGAAAGTGCAGCGTTAAGAACAGGACGGTTGCGGATCAAATACATGTACATGATTAGAAAGTTTCAATAAAAAATATCGAATAAAATAGAAGATAATATAAAAATTGAATAATATGTAATAAAGATATGTGTGGTGTGGGTTTTTCTATTCACAGTTTAGTCAGTAGAGCGTATCGGTAAAAAATATTGCCTGCATTTACTGTAATACTGTGCCATCGATTTCTGAATCAAAATAGTATCGTTTTGCCGCTTCTCATTTTCTAACCATAACTACGTTGTCTATAAAAAGCCGAGCCCGAGTCGAGCCTGATTCGCGGCAAATTTCAAAACACCGCCAGAAAATGGATCGGTGTTTTGACGAAACATTAAAGTATTCTGCCGCGGCTCAGGCTTGGCACAGGCTCGGCTCGTCACGTCTGGGCGCACCTTAACATGGCCCGCGTCAAAATGTTCCATTAATGTAATAAAAAGTTTCAGGGTACAGCTCGCAACGACCATTTGTTGTCGCTAAAGTGACAAAGAAATGACACGCTTTGTTGTTACATCCGTTTGGGCGTTTGAAAAGAAAGTCGATTATTTTTGTTCGCCAGATTAGGCTCTTAAAGGAGTCAAAGCCATTCTCGGCAAGTCGCAAATTAATTTCAATAAGCTGTTTCTTGATGTGTTCTTGATAAAACCGTGCAGCAGTTTTACGTTGCAATTTATTGCTCTTTATGCCAGATACAAAATTGCCAGTTCTTGATTGGTGCATTTCTCCAAAGAAACTGATTAGGTTTCGAACTGTTTAAACTTTGTATTTTAAACGAGTAAATGTATTAAAAAGTGGATTCAGTAACGCCGACATTTTCCGACATGGTCTTATATAGTTGTGCTGAACAATCCCTAGAAGTTTAATCCCAATTTTTCAATCGCCCTGTATAAATCCAATGGTCTCAATTGCATGCATGTTGAGAACTCTTTGTGGTTGTTTATTGCGCTTTTAAACTGAAAAGTTACGAAGAATAAACTTTGCTAAATTATTGAATTAAATTTTTATGTTCGAGCAAATCGATTTAAACTATAATTTAGTAAAAAGTCACTTAATTAGTTCTTTGACAAATTGGTCAACATTATTTTGAGAATCAAAGAATTTTATAATCTCACTGAGATAAACTGAGATGTCATAACAAGAAATTTGCGTTATGCATGCCAAACTAATTTTCATTTTAATAATTAAAAAAGAAACGTTTTTTAACGTAACGTAATGTAACAAACGAATCAATAGAAAATGATCAAAGTTTCTATTTATGTACAAAGTTCGATCAAAGCACATCCTCATCAGGAAAATAAATTTCACATCGGTGCAATAAAAAAATGCGTATTTCCATGCCGTAAATTTAATCAAACAAAAGGGTATTTGCTAAAATCAATCAAAGAACCAAACATTATTACCACGTTATGCAGCTTACCACCTCTTGCCAATTTTAGTTTAAATACCAGAATGTAATGTAAGTTTGTGCCATTTACACTTCCATTGGTTGGCTTCTGAAACCGCTTGCATTTTTTTTTGAGTGTCGAAACCAAAATATCATAAAGCATTTAAAAAACTTTACTTACGTGTCTTAACATGTTTGAATCAGAGCCGTGATGTTGCCCCAAATTCTGTATATAAAAACATTCATGACATCAAGTCAGGTGAAGTTCAAGCTAAGCTCCACAGAGATCAAAAACATGACTTTAACTCTTTACTGAAAATAATTGCTCAAAGCGAGGGCGAAAGCTTTTACACAAACAATCTCGATTTTTATTTATTACCGTATGACACGGTGTATGTCCATGAAATTAATTGAATAATAAGTGGTAAGTGCGAGATTGAGAAAGGATAGTAGTATAACAACGATTTGACAGTGCACTTTTCAGTTCGATATTTTTGCCAAAATGTACTTTAGTTTTTGGTTTTGTCTTGATAATTTCGGTATAACACGTCAACTTTTCAAGTAACAAGATATCCTCTTGGATGCATATAAAGAAAACTAAAAGATATTGAGGAAAGAAAACTAGTGATAGTAAATTTGTAAAATAATAACATGTTTTTCGCTGTATCGCTAACAAGCGCTCTCACGACAGGTTTCGGATCTATTAGCTTTCATCCAGTGAGTTTAGCTTGCCCCCAATGACGCCATCCAAATGCGTATTCTAAACACTCTTAGTGAACAGCTGTTAAATATTCGCCTTCCTATTTATTTGGAAACCTATCACTAGAAGCTTCGGAGCACACGTTGGCACTCACAACAAAAACTGTAGATTAGTCAAGACTGGGGACGTTAAGGGCCGCTGTAAAATTATAGGTTCAACTTGAAAAAATTGTTTAAACAAGAGAATATTTCAGATTTACTTTCTAAACGCTCTGCCACGTATCAGAATTTGGAGCTAACAAACTTTGAGTAGTACTGGCTGTACTGGCTGTAGTGACAGTAGTGCTGGCTAAATTTAGAGTCTAAACACGATACGCTCTTTGACATGTTCTTAATAGAACTAACACTGACTAAATTTTCCGTTAATTGACCGCATGTATTCGAGAATATGTCAACTAGAGTGACATGAGTCATTGTGAAAATGTGACATATTTGTGAAACCGGGTACAAGTTTATTGGCCTTGTATGAAGTATATGTAAAGCAGAGCGAGCCGAGCAGACAGCAGCACGCAGCACACGCACGGCATGGTCACTTAAGACGTGACAGTTGAACTGGTGCTTACTGTGCGCAGTGGGGTGGAGTGGGTGACGGGGTTGGGTCATATTTCCGAGGTCGGCCACGTGACAGGTGGCGACGCTTCACGAATTCGGCATCATCTACCATCCAGAATGAGCCAAAGTCGTCTTCGTAGCGCACAAAACACTTGTGGAGGGACAGATTGGTGCGAATCGCATTCTATAGGTACACCCAGACCCAAGAAAGAGAAAGATAACAATCAAGTCAAGGTCATTTAAGGTTCGCACATCGGTAACTGTGACCTGCTACGCCTAGATATACGTTTTGTATGTCGCTAGTGACTATAACTTCCCTGTTACCTTGCCGCAGTTAGTAGCCCAAGCCTGCGCCTGCGCGGCCCATGCGGTTATTGAACCGGCTAGACACACTTTCACTCTCGTCACACAAGCCAATGTTAATGAAGTATAAAAATAATAAATATATAAAAAAGAGAAAAAGAGAGGTAAAAAATCACAAAACACACAAAGGTAAAAATTGCACCAGTGGACCAGGGACGTACCCGACGACAGGTTGAGTAAGTGGCCCAGAGGAGCACCGCTGAGGTCTCCGTTTGTAGAATTCCACTTCGTCTACGGTCCAAACAGCCCCCTTCACATTCTCCACCCGCATGAAACATTTGTGGAGAGACAGGTTGTGGCGAACTGCGTTCTAACAACAAATCAAACACCTCCTATTGAACAACGCGCCTAGCACTAGTTGCAAGCTGCGTTCCTTACCAAAATCCAAGAAATCTTTATATAATTATCGACGTTTTAACTCGACCCACTGCAGCTAAATTAAATCGGCATTTAACTAAAGGATATATACCAAATGTTACTGAGCATCCGCTATTAAGGCTCAATTTTTTGAGAAACAAATGATCATCAGGCAAAAAAAACATATGGTAATAACCATATATTGATGTTCCTGTCTTTCAGTTCAATTAAAAGCACATCCTAAATATCGTTTTATTCAAGGTAATTCAAATAAAATATGCGGGATTACTCCCTTGCTACTACAATTAAGACGTGCATTAACTTAGAAAGGCAGTAGCATACCAAACTTTATTAAAATGGTAGACTAAAAAACTTAATGCCGAATACCACCATACGTTTTTAGGCAAAATGTAAAAAAATATTTGGAGGGATTATTGGGTTATTAACTATAAAAACAATATTAGAAAACTTAGTAATTCGATTATTTAGTCTACATATAATAATGGAACAATTGTAGTAGTGGATACTTTAACTGAAATATTCATTCTGTACTGTTCTTCAGGTAATTCATAACAAACAGTTCCTTATTAATTTTCATTATTTCTTCAGTTCATTATCGAATTGTTTTATAAAACTAGCACTGTTTATTGAATAAGCCTAAGTTCTTCGTATAGAGGGTATTAAAAATTCGAGGTATAGCATTAGAATCTCGTCAACCGTTAGAGATAAGAGATACAAAGTCGGTTAAATTGGCGAAAATTTATAAATTTTGATGCTAAACAAAATGGTCATAGTCAAAAAGTTGTCATAGTCCTATAACTACCAGAAATGTTCGAAAACAACTTTAAAAAATCTTATTTGAATAAATGTTTTAAAGTAACTGTCTCTCATTAGATCAACTATTAGTTCTGTATAATATAATGCTGATCAGATCTGGAATTCCCTGGCTCGTTTTCGGCCCACATAATTAAATTCAGTTTTTGTAAATACGAAAATGTATTGTTGACATCCGGTTATAAACTATAGGAACCTAGTAATTTGACTATAAAATATATCTTTCAAAACTGTAAGAACAGCCCTAATTTAAAATTAATTGTTGGTACAACTAGATGTGGAGTTTAGTCATACAATTAAACTTAAAAATGAAAATAAACTTAATGGAATTAATCAGCAATTATTAATTATGCATCGATTTTGGCAAAAAACGATAAATATGATTGGCATGAATTTGGCAATCATATCATTTCATGGAATGAAATGGCAAAATTTCAAAAAGCGGTTAATGCCTCAAAAACATATCTTACCGTCACCATGACTGGCTCCGTATAATTCATAAATCATGGGCAAACATACAAAGTTTTAAAAAATATATAAGTTTATGAAAAAATTAACCGGAAACGAAGCATTGAATTCCAGATTTGATATTATAATATTTTAGAGAATTAAAAGTGGTTTTAATAATAATTTTTAATATTTTAAAATATAATTTTAATAACATTTTAAACAATCTATCCATTATATCCAAAATTAAAATATTTTGATCAAATGTTGGTTTTTTTGAATAATTCGAGAAGTAGGTAATTGGAATTATGCAATTTTTAAAATATCATTTTGTTCAGCATGGATATGCGCAACTTTGCCTAAACTTCACCGACTTCGTATTTCTGACGATTTAGAAGATGCGATTGCTGACACCTCGAATTTTTAAAAACCTGTATAGTCTGCGTCGCTAATGCGGTCATCTCGCGCTTGAAGACTAACATTAAACTGACGAATTTAATCTAGTGAACCTTTCAATCAATCAGTTGAATATTTGATTAGTTCATCATTCACTTAAAAAGGAGAAGAAAACAATTTATATTTTTAAGTGACATGTTTTATGACCGTGATCATCAATGCCCCTATAGAGGACTTTCGCAAGATACATTAATAGAATTTAGTTATGAAAAAAGCAAAGAAAGTTGGTTATAAAATATTCCTTCTCCTATTATTAATTATGGGTTAAAACCCATCTTGTTATAACACGTTCATGTTATTGGATGTCCCATTTCATGTTCTGCTTTCTTAATTTTGTATCCTAGATTTAAAACTGATGAAACTAAAAATAATTATAAATCAGACAACTAGATCAAATATCAGAGGGCGATCGATTTTGCAATATAATCGACGAAAAAAAAAATAAAATTGCAAAGTCGCAGATGATTAGTGTGTGACGCCTTGCGAACTAAATGTTTCAGATTTTTGCAAATACATTTTTGGTACATTGTTATGAGGTAGCCGATAATTATTTCTCGGACTTAAAACAGTCAATCCAAACATGATTATGTATTTCATTTAAATATTTGGATGTAATGTAGTGGAGTAATGACTTTAATTAATAGTGGCAAAGTACTTCCCGAAAAAGTACGTATCTTGATCGAATCGCGCAAATATTCTGGTAACCTAATATAAATTGGTTACCAGCTGAAGCGACATGAAACTTCGAAATGATCAACTATTTATTTCTCAAAAAATTAGTCTAACCAAGATGGTGAAATGTTGGGCGGATACTGGGAATATAGAAGAGTTACGCAAATACCTCCGCATTAAAAAATATATTTGGCTCTACCATTGACCGAGATTTCTTGAATTTCAGCAAAAAAATTATTGAATAATAAAACAAAATCGTATGAAAATAATTTTTAAGTGTTAATAAATAACAATGAAAATAAAAAAATATATTCGAGAAAATAATGATAAGAAAAATCAAAACTGAAACTTAAACTGTGTGGAAATTGAAAATAATTATAATATTGCATGCAAGCTAAAGCTGTTAAAATGGATCCTATAACTTAATTATGACAAGATTGTAATGTACTTTACCGAAAATACATACATCGTCACATGAGCTCGAATACAGAATTTATCATTACTTCGATCATATAGTCATTATTGAAATGTTTCCTATAATTGGCTCAATTATTAGAATATTGAGTTCACACTCCTTCCAGAAATTCAGCCGAATATAGGAAACAAATCGATAAACCAAAGCAGAATATTACAATACCTTCCATGTAGCAGCGTTCCGTCTAAAATAGCAAAATGTGTTTTGGAACCAATTGTAAATTTCATTTAGTGTTAGCTGTTTATCTGGTGATTCTATGATGGACTAAAATAAAAAGTTTGTTAATTTCCAATCATCCCTACGCTCGGGATAGACACCTACCTGTCGGATCAGAGAGGCATAAGTAAAAGGTGGCCTCACATCAGCATTTTTGTAAAATTCCCTATTTCGTTGAATTTCTGAAATATATACCCTACTATAGAACGAGCTTTGCGTGGCCATATGTTATTGTGACAAATAAAATTTGCAATAAATCGAAAACCCTCAAAATACCTTGTTGAACATCTAATCCTGCTCTTTCGAGCATATAAGGTAAACCTTTAAGCAGCAGGAAAAAAGTTTTACCTTTAAGTTAAATCACTTAGAAGTTCTCAATAAAAAGTACTTACCACCAGCTAATGATAATGCTGATTTGTCGCTAAGTCTTCTCCTAATGGGGCCAGCTACGTTAGGAGTAGAGGTGTGCAGTACTGGAGATCGTACTGCCGACACCATGGGTCCCATGTTAACAGGAGGAGGAACTGCTGAACTAACGGGTATTTTGGCAGGTACAATACCTGTATCTTTATGAGGATCAGGGGAACCCAATTGTTTCGATAAGTGCAAATGGTGCATCATAGCTTGTAGTCGATCTCTCTCCTTTTGCAATTGAAGCTCTAATTGGGACACTACTTGCATTTGAACTCGCGCCTGTGCAGTTGACCGGTCATCCAATGTATGTTCCGTATTTAAGTGTCTGTAAGACAAAGCCTAAACTTGCCAAAATAAATAACAAGGTGCCCCTCTTCGGGGCCGCTATCGAACCAAATAAAAAAAACTTGATTGCCATAAAAATAGCTAATAAATTCCATAATTACGGGCTTTGTTTACAAAACGGTTATGCAGTGCGTTTCAAATGGAGTTTCCCTCTTGGGGAGCTCCGTGAATAAGGAAGTTTATGGCGTAGATAAACTGTTAAGGGGATAAAATTTATTGTGTTTGTTTTCGGAAAATGTTTTATTGATTGGTTAAAAATTGACTCAGCGAAATAATAAACCACCAGTAAATCTTTTGTCTTTAGTATCGCTTAGTGTTTTATCACTAAACTTCCCATGTAATTGATTCGCCGTTAGGAAACTCAAATCAGCTATCCATCTTATAATAACTAGATACAGCGTGTCCGATTTTAGTTTCTGCCCAAATTAGATTCAAAACACATTTTAAAGATTTGGAAATGTCTGTCAATTACTATTGTTTCAGACGACGTTTTTCTACAATATGTTTTTTTCAGAGACTATTTAGCTCCCCCGATGTTTGATCATCAAATTTTTTGTGTTTATACAGCGTGTTTCACTTAAGATCGATTCAGCCCTGTATTTTATGTATTTAAAAAAACCGGATTTTCAGTTTCGATACATAGATGACAAGTTACTAGAAAAAGTCGTTCAGAATGTTCTTTGAACTGTGAATACCGAGTTTCAAGTCAAAACTCTAAGTTTAGCATTTATTTTTAATTTTCTACTTTGCGTGAAAATTTAAAAGTCTTCACTATAGAGCCATGAAGGCAAATCAACCACTAATAATTGTCAATTCGACATTAATTTCGTCAGAGCGCGAACTGAATGGCTGTTGAACATTTCAGTTTAAGTAGGCAAATTAGAAATAATTGGAATATTTGGTAATAGTAAAACACCATTAGTCCGAAGTTGACGGAAGACAAGTTACGGAAGATTTCATTATAAGACATTCACCAAAGAACCGATTAATCCTATTAGGCGTAACACTTTAATCCCTTTGACAATAATGCGATTCCATTTAATCGGGATTAGTTTTATACTTTAGTGTAACTAGGACCAACCCTGTATATACACAGACATTGAACAGGGTGGTTCACTCAGCGCGTTCAAATCTAGTTTAAAAAAGTTTAAAATAATTCAAATTCTTCAAGAACAGGTGGATTGTAAATTAGAATATCGTTCTTCCATGTGTTCTCGTATCCTTTCGAATGCGATTTTGTCTTAAACACAGGCCTTGAAGATAATTTAGAAAAAGCTACCACATATTTTAATACCAAAACACGATAACTAAAAACACTAATCAAGAAGCAGAAGCCAAAATACTTAGTGAGATCCAAAGAACCGATCAATACCGAAGGTGGAACTCGATTCCATTGCAATCGAAAAGGTAAATTACTTCCCATATCTGGAAGCAGAAGAACGAATCATGGAAATTTGCAGCAATGAAACCAGCTAAGGATTATGGATGCATGAAGGACATTGTACAAATACTTTAATATGAAAACCAAAACATTAAAATACCTTTTAAAATCTACGCGGCAGAACAATAACCACACATAATTGACAATTTGCACAGACGAATTATCAGAGCGAATTTTCATATACTGTATTATCCCACTATTGTTACACAATTTATTAACATACCCTTTTTTACGTTCTTTGATAACGATAGCAGAAAATAGCTGTCGAAACGTCAAGGTAATTTTTCAAATTAATTTCTTTTCTAATTGGAATTTCCTCTTACAGCTTGAGCCTAAGTGTGTCGCAGGATACCCTCTAGGTGATAGTTCTTGATTACTTTTTGATAAATATTTCGTTCTTATTGCGAAATA